GATGGTGAGATAGTGAAGTTGTTGTCACATCTCTCCCAACCATCCCGAGAATCGTTGAAACGATTGTCGCCTGCGTATCGATCTGCATCAGATCGACACACTACTCGTAACGGTTTACTGTACTATACAGCCGTTTCTGGTGACACACCACGTGTTGTCATTCCAGATGATACTGATCTGCGTTTGCGGATCATGTTCGAGTATCACGATGCTCCTATAGGAGGACATCGTGGCCGAGAGAAAACATATCTCACGGTAAGTCGAGACTTTTACTGGCCCCGCCAGTATCAGTTTGTGCGAAAGTATGTTCGCGCATGCGAAGTCTGCCAACGAGTGAAGTCAAGTCCTTCACTGCGTGCACCTTTACAGCCTCTACCGGTTCCGGCTGAGTGCTGGGAATCCATCTCAATGGATTTCGTCTTCGGGTTACCCAAAGACGCACGCGGGAATACGGGTGTTCTCGTTTTTGTTGACAGATTCAGCAAAATGGTACACCTTGTGGCTGTACCAGATACAATCACGGCAAGTGGCTGTGCTTGTGCCTTTATTGACACCATCTTCCGACTTCATGGGTTGCCCCGTGAACTCGTATCAGACAGAGATCCACGATCCACTGCTGATTTCTGGCGTTCCGTGTTCAAATCACTCGGAACGCGCTTGAAGATGTCAACATCTGATCATCCAGAGTCAGATGGTCAGACGGAACGTGCCAATCGTGTCCTTGAAGAGATACTTCGAGGATACGTACACTCCTTTAAGAGTTGGAGTGAGTTTTTGCCAATGGTAGAGTTTGCCATCAACAACTCGGTGCATGCGTCCACGACACATACACCGTTTTACGTGAATGGCTTGCGCCATCCGCGTGTACCCACCTTACTAGAATGTAACTCTGGTTTAAGGGGGGGAGGGACTCGCGCGAGCAAAAACCGATTTGGTTCACGCTCATCACGCTCTGACGAAGAAGTCATTGCGTTTGATGCCGATATCGATAACATCGATATCGAAGAAGATGATGCCAGTGAGAGTGCGGAAGCCCTCACTGAAGACAATGATCCCAGTGAGAGTGCGGAAGCCCTCACTGAAGAAAAGGTTGTTGTTGCTGCAGTGCGCTCACAGCACACTGAAGCTAACGAGTCATCAGATGAGTTCATACTGGCTCGTGAAACGGTAGTCCGTTTTGTGCAAGACTCCATCGCCGAAGCGGTGGATAAGCAAAAGCAAAACGCTGACAAGAATGGAAGGGCAAACACTCTTTTATTTAATAAAGGTGACTTAGTCCTACTGTCTACGGTTAATCTACCAAAGCATGTAGTGACTAACTTGGGTAGCAGTAAACTACTACCCAAGTACATTGGCCCATTTCGTGTATTGCACCGCCTAGGCAATGCATACACGATCGAGTTACCACGTAAGATGCGAACGCATCCCACGTTTTACGTTGGTCGGCTTAAGCCGTACCATCAGTACGCTGCTTCTTCCGATGAAGAACGCCCTTGCGCTCAAGCATCTCGCAGAGAGCCTTGTGCTCCCGATGGTGGGCATCAACAAGGGTCTGAAGAGCAGCTATCTCATCCCGAGACCGATCAGCCATCCCACGAGCTACCCTTAGCTCGTCACGAAGAGATGTCAGAGATCTCTCGTTCTCAAGCTGAGCAAAGGCAAACTCAGCTCGATGCTTCAAGGCAGTGTCCACCATCTGGAGACGCCTATTCCGCTCATGCTCGAGATCGTCGCGTAACCCTTGCGTTACGCGATCAAAGAAGCTCTCGGGAACACACCGATCCACATGATCGTGTGGAGAGCGTCTTTCCTCCTCCTCCACCTCCATTAGAGGACTCTCGCGGTGGCCAGCGCTATCTAGTTGAGCAGCTGTTGAACCACCGCGACGTGAACGGACGTCGGACGAGTTACCTCGTCCGGTGGCGCGGCTATCCCCCGTCCTGGGATTCTTGGGAGCCCCGCTCCCAATTGATGATCGACGTACTGGGTCTGGTTGAGCAGTACGACGCGGCACATCCTGTGCCGCAGAAGGACCGCCGGAGAAAGTCTTCCCGGCACGGTCGTAAAGGGATTTCAGGTTGTCAATCCCTTCGTACATCTCAGTAGAGACACGTACGCGCCACCACTGGCTGGTAAGGAGGTAAGCCTCCTTAGGTGCTCGTGCAGAGTTGTTCACACAACATGGGCACGAGTCTCCCCAAGAGAGGCAGGGTAATCCTTTCTCCCTTGACAGACGATGCAGCTTGTAGCGTGCACCTGTCGGGATTTGCTTTTCAAACTTATCACGAGCTTTGATAAGTTTGTCGTTCCAAGCGTCACGACCCACATCCTCGAGGTTATGGATGTAGGCGTTCCACGCCTGAAGTAGTGAGGGACCATCACGTTTGTGATTCCCACTGTACCATCGATGTCTGAAGAAAGCATCGATGAAGAATTCGTGTTCAGCGCGATAGTCTTTCGCGCTGGGGTCAAGGTGATGGATCCTTGACGAATCGAACAACCGTGTTCGATAACGATCACTCGTCGTCGCCGACAAGTGATCCATGACGGATTTAGGAGGCATCCATGCCTTCTTTTCTGGAGCGAGACGCAGCACATTGCGGTCCCGCTCTTCCTGCGACGTGCCGACAGAAGTACTGGCACCTCGCTGTGAAGTGGTGTCCATTGGAGAACCGACACCACTATTAGCGCCCGAGTCTCGCGACCTCGAGCGCCTTCGCTTCGGCGATGGTTCATCTGATTCGTCAGATGAACCAAAGATGCTGCGACGCAAAGCATCGTCCATGCCACGCTTAGCAGGCGGCTTGGATTCAATTGCCGTCGATACGGATCCGTCATCCGTATCAGGAGAGTACGAGACACCGAGCTCGTACTCTGTGAAGACACGAGTGTCTTCATGACCAGCGCCTGCGTCACCAAGTGACACAGGCTGGGTCTCTTCAGCAACCGATGGGACATCAGTTGCTGTAGTTTCTGCTTCGGCGTCCGCACAGAGACGTGCAGACGCGCTCTCGGCGGCCTTGCTCGCGCATCGCATGGGCTTGTTAACCATGCGATGAAATGTTGGAAAGTGGACGCGGACCAACAAGTGCAAACCCTGTCCCAAATGATTTGGGACGAGTATCCATTTAGTCAATCAGTCACTAAAGTGACTGATGGTTAAGGGGGGGTGATGTAACGGGGTGAATCGTTACATAACAATTTATAAGAAATTGTTAATAGAATATAACTATAAGAGTTATATTCTCAGAATATTGTCATAAGGACAATATTCTGTAGCACTTACAAGTAGTTCCTAATTGGTTGATATAGGCCATTATATCAACCAACGAAGACGCGCCACGACAGACGCACGCAATGAGTGGTGAGCAGATAACTGATTTACACATTTGTATTTAGACATAGTTAGATGAAGATAAATAGTGATTTATTGCAGACATTAACTATTATAAATACAGTTCTACTTTTTACTCTAACCAAGTACTCCCTTCTTCTTACCGTCTTCCTCTGCACGTACGAGTGTACGTGAAGTTACGAGGCACCGCCTTATTCTGTTATCAGAATAAGTAGCTTGTACTGTCACCAGTACAAGCTTCAGGGTGCCCCGTTACACTGGAGGTGGAAGAAATGAGGATAGAAAGTTCGGGGCTAAATGGACTTGCCAACAAGGTACATAGATCCGAGACACACAATAGACACTGAGTCGTGCTAGCCTCGTTCGTGGTACCAGAGATAATGGCTGAACACGGTATCTTTTTAACAACTGAGACCTGTCTGTAGGACACTGTGTGGACAATAAATCCGTGAAAACGCTCGAAGGGAGGCGTCTCTGGAGGCTGCACACAAAGATTCGACTATAAAGATCGTGGGCCATGTACGCTAAGCGTGTCTCGATCCGCAAGGGTTAAGGCAGCTTTCATTCTTCAAGTGAGATGATGTCCAAATCGTTGGCGTCAAGACCGAAGGAGCTAAAGAAGCTCGTTTATTCGCATTGGAGTATGCTTAAGGAGTGCAGTGTCTGCCAGAGCAATGACTTTGGACTAAAATGATTTTTGCAGCGAAAGTGGAATTGAAAATTGGATGTTCGACCTCAAACAGTCAGCTGCAGACTGAACGAGCAGGTTGACTCGCAGTTCCTCCTCTATCGTGTTATGGGAATTGGGGTAACAACCTTGACAATCTGTCGGAGGCAACGAACGACAATTTGTCGGAAGAACCTTGACCATCTCGATCTCACCTTTTCTTTCTACTTCTACCGATTGTCAGTCAGCGGGCCCCCAAAACTTCAGCTCAATCTGAACTGCTCACCGAATAATTCGACCGCAGACAGCCCGCACGTCATTTTGCCAAAATATGCTTCCGAAAACACCAGTCTACATCCAGTCGACGGCACTTTGCTTTTTTCAGCATTTATAGCCTTAATTTTACTTTTTCTACATTGCATTTATTCCCGAAACCTGATCTGGACAATTAGTGGATACATGACTCCCGACCCGCTGATTTCAATGTCCTTGGGCGCCAGCGCATCCATTACCGATGTGTTGGATGGTCCCAACGCCCGCTTCCGGTTGCAGTTCGTAGACGACCGCCGTACCAAAGAGTTGCGCTGGGTACTTTTTGCCTGTACGTACCACCACTTTTTTCTACTTGATAACGCTTTTTAACCTAATTTGACCCCCCCCCTTTACTTATACAACAGCGACACAACGTGGCGCTATAGGAAAACTAATTTTCACAATAGAAAAAAGCGCGATGGCTCATGTAAAATCTGTCGCGGTAAATTCCGAGTTTCGCGGCTTCGGCTTGGCCCGTGTGCTCTATCTAGCGACACTCGCAACATTAGAGGAGAAACGAGTGCGTGCGCTCTATTTAGAGGCTGAAGAGGACTCTAACCGTTACGGCAAATTGGTGGGACTCTATCAGGGCTGGGGGTTCACCGAAATCCCCGGAAGCAACGTCCTTTTTTGTACAATGGCAACAGCTGTCTTCGTAAAGTGCCCATGGTGTCACTTTTCCAACCCGACACTTTTTATCCCGTTCGCTCCAAAGAAAGCACTTGGTTTATTATGATGACTTTGCAGACTCCAGATGGCACTTGTCTCGTGGCTGGAGAAGATGGGGATATCCTCGTCAGCTCTCGAAGTATCAATGAGTGTAAGTGGCAAACGGTACTCGGAGCCACGGGCGAAATTTGTCTTCGCAGTGTTCATGGGAAATTTTTGTGTGTAGAAGAAAACGGTAAGATTTTAGCTGACCGACCAATAAATTCAACATGGGAGACGTTCCAAGTTGTGCCACAGCATGAGGATGATGGTGTCTCAACCTTTGGCGGTGTGGCACTTCGCAGCTTTCACGGGAGCTATCTGTGCATCGACCCATCATCAAAACAGGTGCAAGTATCGGACCAGCCCGTGCCTTGGGATGGTGGTGACATCATGTCGTTGGTCTGCAATAAGGCAGACTCACGTCGACTGTTCGTTAAGATCATGCGGAAGTACCAGACGATGGATTTTGTGAACAACCAGATGGCCAAATACGGGAGCTTGCAACACGCACAAATGTCAGTGTACGAAGCTTGTAAATGTGTGATGTAACTCACTGGAGACTCGGACCGGGAGGAAAGCTGGGTGATCAAGTACATGCTGGCGACTGCAAGTGCAGTGAAGGAAGATGGGCACCCCGATTGGCTGCAACTCGCCGTCTTTCTTCGTGCTTTAGGGATGTTGTTTTTGTGCTGGACTGACGACGACAACGCTGCACTGCGCAGCATTTCAGCACAAGAGTGGCTAACGAAGAACTCGACGTGGGTAGTGGGTGAGGCTATACCGAGCTCAATTGAGTGTCCGGTGATGAACAAGCTCAATGTGGACCACTGCAATGCTAAGGAGGCTGGACGTGGCGCTGCTAGACACTGTGGGCTACAAAACGTTACGTTACCATGGACGCCGGACGAATATTTGTATCTCGTGTTGTCTCACAACAGGACTACGCTGCCTGCAGAAGCTCTGGATATAGTCCGTTTCTGGTCATTTAGAACGTGGTACGAGCAGGACAATTACGACGAATTGTGCTCACCTCAGGACATGGACACGAAGGAATGGATCATCTCGCTTGCAGAAGTGGCTGCTGTATCTGCGGATACGGTACAGAACCTTGATGTCAACGATGAGCTAGAGTATTACTTGCAACTCGCCGAGAAGTATTTGCCACGAACACTTCATTGGTAATATCTTTATCAGCGCAGCAAACCGCCAAGAATTGATGTTGGATCAACTTGTGGATCAGTAAGCGTATGTCGGAGCAAGTTTACGCCGATAGCTTTATTGGAGCGTCTGACAATTGTAGTAGGAACAGGTAGTTTCACGGCATGGCAGCGTGAAATGTACAACTCACTGTGAAGTCAATATTGCAAAAAGGTTTCAAACCACCTGATATAGCGAACGGCGCGGTCTTGACTCTGTGCCGGGCTTTAATAAATAATTGCTCCGGCGCTTGGATGTTAGTTAAATGGAAAATGTATCGCCCTATGATGGACGCCATTGTCGTGGCAACCTGATGATCATGACAGGGACGCAATGACGTACGGACACCGGTGAACTTTGCACCACCCAATTCGGCCAGGTTGGAGTGGATTGAGATTGCTGATGAAGTAAGCACGATAAATGGACGCAAAAAGCCGATGGTAGTTTGTCTTAAACCTTTACAGAGGAAGAACACGTCACGCATGTCATAGCGGGTAGTAGTCGGGAAAAGACCAGGCAAAGCACATAACGAGGCTGTAGCAAAAGGAGAATATGATGAGAAATGAACCGCTTGCGCCTGGTCAAGTCAAGTGAGCTGTGAGATGAGGCTGCAGTGGTCTGAATAGACTCCCAATGTCAGTACCAAATAAGGCAGCTCCACATTTGATCAGCAGGCACCAGTTTGATACATTTGATTGTAAAGTGCTGTACGGTGACGGATGCATCGTGAGTGGATTGCAATCGTTCATTCATGTGTGGACAACTAAAGTAAAATTTATCGACATCACGTGATTCTATCTACAGCGTGAAATAAGTGCTGATGAGAAAAGTTGTAACTGCGACGAATGCAATCATTTAGAGCGAAAGACATCGAATCGATATACTTTGTGCCCGATTGTGATTGACTCGCATTATGGATCACTCAGCTTACACATTGTGCGTCTGTAATGAGTTTTGGCTCTTTACGTTATAACGTCCCATCATTAAATAAAAATGGTGACGTCCAAGTTTGTAGACACAAGCTAGCAATAATAATTCGTTTTCGTACTTGCCAAGTCACGATATTAGCCCAATTCGAAGGAGACACGACGCAATTGTTTTACTCGACACCTGTCCTCTGATACGCAGAGGACAGGTGTCGAGTAAATCAAGTTTAGGTCGTAAATGTGTTTCATTGGTCACCACATCAACACATTTTGCAGAGATCCATTCCCCTTGAATGTGCGCACACGTACAAACAGGACTAAACACTCCTGTCGAATTTCGACTGAGCGTCGTTTGGACCACGTGGCAGGATCCATCGATGTCGTATGGCCGCCATTACGCGAACTAATTTGACACTCGTTTCACTTATTGATCACCATTATCACGTTTTGGTCGGAGGTGAGGCAAACTTTTGTCGGCTATGACGACGCAGGCACTTCGTTCCACAATACGTGAACGCAAACTTCGTAAAATACTCCCCCTCAACGGGCTCGAAAAAGTTGCCACATATCGAGCACTGCAGGTAATTCTTTGGAAGTGGCGGTGCCTCGGGAGGGACGTACCATGCTAAAAGGTCCACGGTATTAGTACGCACAATCTGATGCCATTGGACTGCAGTGACTCCTTTATGCAGCATACGATGCTTGAAATGTTCGAACAAGTACGCGTAACCTCCACCACCATAGCGACGATATTGCGTGCGCTGGTACACGTTCGTAGACAAAAGCACCTGATACAGATACTGCGGAGCGTTTTTCAACAGCCTTGCAAGCCACTCTGCGAGGCGACTGTCGGGAGCCGGCTCCTGCCATTCTTTTTCTGATGGAGGCAAAAGGGAATCGGACACGCTCGTTAAGCACGGGTTCACCAGCGCCACTTCACTGACTGACCGAAGACCGATCATGTTGAAGAGCACCGAGACGCCTAGATCGAACAGCTCCAACAAGAAAGCGTAACCGGCATCCTCAAAACGCCCATGACACCAGCGATCCACATGACAGACCACGAGCTTTTTTTTCTCTGCACCAGCTTCCAACAGTGCACGTATCCAAGCTCGCACTACCTGCTGTAGTTTTAACATGTCTCCGAGAGGCTCCTCACTCACGAGCGAAAACGATAGATATAGTGGAGCGTGCGTCCTCGCTTGAGCCTGCAAATATACACATACAGCCAACAATATCAACGTTATACCACCATAGAGCATTGAGATCGATATCATTACAAATGTCCATACCGATGCCAGACCCTGTACAAGAACCTGCTCATGTGCGCTGAGTACTTCTCTCTGTACATGGATCTGCTGGTAAATAGCTCCAGGGAACACCACGACTCCATCTTTCTCGATACCAAACATCAGCTCAGCCTCCAATGTCTTGCTAATGCAGTCACTAGCCTCATTTAGTGGCTGGGTGATACAAAGCTCGTCACGAATCCTCTCAATCTCCCATGTCGTGACAATCACGAAATGCACGCCTTTCAGTCTTTCGACCAATCGCAGTCGCTCTTTCATCAACACATCACGTCCTTCAATCGGCAACGTCACGTCTAGAATGAGAACTTGAGCTCCGTCGCGCTGGACTTGCTGCAGTTTTTCCAGTTCTCGAAAAGCTTCGTCCTCTTTCTGGAGCATCAGGTTGCGACCTCCGTGAGCGAACGGAGTTCGACGGTAGTCAATGAGGTCTTCAAATCGAATTTATTGATCGTTAGAAGCGTCGCTGGGTCCTGCAATGGATCCAATGGTGTGCAGTATACGTTCATGGGGAAGCGTGACGCCCACGTTGTCAGGGGCCACTGATGCACGGGTACTGCGGATCATTTATCGACTTTGGGATGACACGCGGCTATCATAAAGTACGGTTTAAGTTCGCATCCAACACCATGGTAGCTATTCACAACCCACAGCCGCATTTACTGCCTAAATAAATAGTATTTAGAGTCTTCTGATTGGTCAGATTAAGAAAGGTACCAATTTCAGAACCGATTATGAAAGGACTGCAAGGAGTATGCAGCTTGCATCAGCAGTGCGACCTGCTTTTAGAAATCGACATGGGACTGTACCTTGCTCAAAGGCAAAACGCCAGTTCTTTTGCGAGGAAGTACTTCATTCAGCTGAGCCTACCAATCTGCATTCCAACATTTTTGTCCACCCCATTTGGATGCTGTGCTTTCGAATGGCTCACGTGTCATCAAATCATCAGCCAGCCAGCTTGACATGCGTCACGACGGTTGACATGTATCTCCCACTTCGATTTCTACTGATGAACTCAAGCACACTCATGAAGACCTTCCACAAAGCTTCTGCCTAAATGAGTACTCAGATTTAACAACACGCATCCTAAAACATCATTCAGCTAGCTTGCGCTGAGTCCCATATCGCTACAGCTACCGTCAAACTCTCGTCACGCACGCAGCTACGAACAACCATCCTTGACATAAATACCACATTGTGTCGCTCAACTCGCTGACAAATCCTGTCACCAACGAAACCCCTTTACAAGCTCAATAGATCTACTGGCTGCTGTGACGGCTGCCTCTTCTGGTCTGCATTCACCAATTGTGTATGTGTGACAGGGTTGAACGGGTCATTCACATTCCCACTCTTTTCCGACTTTTGCACTTGTTCCGGCAAGTCCGAGAAATCAATCAAGGTCACTTCTTGCGCTTCTAGTCCTTCAGGCACTTCCTGCACAGGTTGGAGCGGATGCTTCATCCGTACAAGCTGAGGCGCACTTTCACGCTCGCCCACAGGGTCCTCGATAGAATCCTTAACTGTAAACAGCTCTTGAACCAAGCCGTTTGACGTCTGCGAGCTTAGAGACATCCCCTGCAAGCGCTGACTGGCCTGCGAGCTCCCACGGTCCACTATTGGTTTCTCCCATTGCGTGTCACCCGACCCTTCATGACGAAAGTACACGGCACAGCGCGAGCGAGAGTAGACAGGGTACCACCCAGATTCGAGTACAAAGTCAGTCTGACCAATGTCACTCCATGCACTGCCATCAATGAAGAAGTCATACGTTTTGTGTTCGTCGACTAGCGTCACGACCAAATCCAACTCGTGTTGATCCTCTAGATCGTACTCAAACTCCCACATATCTTCTTGAATATCGTCAAAATTCACACGCTTGAGCTCGCGACAGTCCAGCACGACAACAAACTCACCCTTGTCCAAATCCCTCAACTCCAATTTGTGGACATTGCCATTCAATCCGAATGCAAACGTCCAGGTTAACAACGTGCCCGGTGGACGTTCGTCACCATCACTTAGCAACTCACCGCAGGTCTCGTCTACACGTCGCACATAAATGTCGCTGCTCCAAACCGACGTGGATTGGTGTCGAAAGGCAGCCAATAACATTCGCTCCGCCAGCTGGTCCCACGGCACCCCCTCCGCTACCAGCTCATAGACCGTCTCAAGTCTTCTCTCGTCCACAACAGCTGTCTTGACGTCACGAATAATCACGCGAAACGGCGTCAACACGTCCACCCCCACGTGGAAATCGTACTGCCAGTTCGTAGCATACTGCTCCGAGGTAAACAGTCGTTTACCATCGAGCTTCAGCCGCTTCTTGGCCGAAATCCGGCTGTGTTCCAGCATCACCGTGTGCACTTGCTCCGACCCGGCGAGGACAAAGCACCACGTGACGCGCTTTTTCGAGATGGCTACACGTGCCCCAATGTTCTCCACCTCTTTAGACACACGAAGAACAGAGCTGCTGCTACTGCTGCTACTGCTTTCTCCCTCTCCACTGGCAGAAGAGGCAATTGAGTCGATACTGCCACGGGCTCGTCGAGGTTTGGCCACGTAGCTGGAGTGGTCACTGCCGTTGCTGTCGCGAGGCCGGGACAAGGGCGACGAGTGCGTCATGTGGGACACGGACGCTGATTTCTTCAGTGTGGGACGAGATGGAACGGAACGGAGGAGGTGGACCAATAAGAGTCGAGGTAGGATGGATGCTGACGAATCACGGACGCCGAAGCGTTCTGAGTATGGCTGCCTTTGGAGGGCACGATTTTGAGAAACGCCTGGTATACCTTTACAGGTCTCGATTGATTCTCTCGGCGTGGAACGCTATGTTTGCTGTCAGTATCTGTCGATGTGTGGCGGTCAAAATGAGGCTTTGGATCACATCAAGTGGAGGTGTTTGTCTGCATATGGATAGTGGTTGAATACTCTGAGGACAGTACAGAGGAAAGCCCTGTAATGCTTCACAAGATGCGAGTTACTACTGCCTGGCGAGAAAACTATTAACGGTATTTGCGGTTTTGGTGATTACGGCAAGCGTTTAGAGAGACGTGGATGCGAATGGCATCCAACATGGAACCGAGAACCGCGAATACTGTGCTCCATTTGCATGAAAACACCATGGATGCAGAGAAATTGAGTCGTTTATGAGCAGAAGACGGTAACGTTGGAGCAAGTGTGTACGAAGCTCGAACTTGGTGGACAGTGTCAACGACGTGCGTTATCGACTGGAGAGCTCAGAAAGTTACATGCGAAGATGCATGGAATACGTATAAGGCAATGTGTGAAGCAACGAGACACTCATCCTTTGATTGCATCACTTCATGCGGTGACTTTCGTACAATCGCTGTATCATTTGACGCCCGCATTTTTTCCTGGCGTCGAGAATTTCTGACATCTTGTACACGTTGATAACGTTCCATAAACTGTCAGGCTTTCTTTAAGTCAAAATGCGTGAGGAGCATCTCGATCGACTTCGAGCGCTCTCTTCCCTGTTCAAAAAAGTAGTAAAACGTTTGGCTCCTGGATAAAAGATGCAACACTGCTTGCTGACGACGATGCTCTGCAAAAGGTGGACCCACAATCCGGAGACGAAAATCACCACAACAGCTGGAAGATGAAAGACTTTGGGTGCCCTTCGACGTGATGCGTGAGCTTGACTATGTTTGAAGATGCGCAGCCGATAGGGTGATAATACGCAACCTTAGTCCGTTTATCAAATTTAACCTCGTTGAGCTGTAACAACCCATTTTTACTGCCCTGCAAGACGACAGCACCCTGTTGTAACGGGGTAGCCCGTTGTAACGGGGTTGCACGTAAAAGGGTACTTTGTACCAGGTGTGTTACACATCTGATGGCACCCCTTGTGAAGGTGATATAGAATATCTTATTGGTTTGTAGGGGCTGACGAGTGTCAGCCATTAGATACGAAAGGTCTTTGAGTAAGATTAAGATATTCTATAGACTTTAACATTAAAAAAAATCAGTTCCCATTTTGATTTATAAGACACGTGGCTTGCGAGCCGTCTTTATCGTTGATCACTGATCACTAAGAGTTTGCAACACCTCCTTGAGGTAGCTACTCTTGAGCTAGGTGCTGTCGATTCACTAAATCGTTAGGTCCCCTGGAACAGGGACCTGAAGCTGTAAAGCTTGATGACTCGTAGAGTCGTTAGTTCTTTAGAACTAAGTTGCTCGTTGAGCGTTAAGTCTTCCTCTGACTCAAGGAGCTGTGTAGCTCCGCTACACTTGGTAGCACTTGTAGTCAATCTACGCCTGAATCTTCAAAACTGATCCTCTGTGAGGATGGAAACCCCCCTCTCTGAGGCCCAAAGGGTCACGCTTGATAAGCTGACCGCATATTTGGGTCCAGAGTACGTGGAATTCCTCGTATTAAAAAGTTCTGAAGTGCGTAATGCACGTGTTAAAGCTTTATGCAGTGTGGAGCAACCCTTTTAGGGCAGTTCAAAGACCAGGTAGCGTCGGCTATGCCTTTACGCTATGTGTCTGTACCAGACGAAGAGGCTAGGCTCGTCCACTTAGAGTGGAAGTAAAAAAACTACTCCAGTAAGGGGGGTGAGAACCTCATCCTTTGGATTCGTGGGATCGATATGGCGATGAGATCAGGCCTGATCAACCTTGACCATCAACAGGTCTCGCTGGCTATCTCGAAGCTTGATGGAAGAGCTATAGAATGGGCCTTGACGTGTAGCACGTCGGTGGACATAGCGTTTCCTACATGGGAGTCGCTAAAGTCACAATTGGTACATGTGTTCTCACCACCTAACCCGGCTTACCGCGTGCGTTCACGCTTTCTTTCTACCCGCCAGGGTAAGATTGAATTATTGAACTATGTTCAAGAGCTGCGAACGCTCATGGCTGCAATGCAGTCTGACCCTCTGCCTGAGGCAGTCCGTGTGACTATCTTCATGGAAGGTCTACGTACTGGCATTGCCAGAACCGAGGATTTTCGGGTTCACCATTCTACTTTTAAAGAGGCTGTGAGAATTGCTTCTAATGCTGAGCATAACTTCAAGTCGGCCAGATTTGGTTGAAACGGGTACAACCCTAGCTCTGTGAGAGCAAACTCTTTGGGTACCACTGCCTATAATAGGCCGGAACCGATGGATCTCAGCTATGCTAAAGATGAAGGTGAAGCTGAGTTTTAAGCTGCTGAGCAGAAACGCTCCGTACGACGATGTTTTACGTGCGGAAGCACTATACACTTGCGGCATGGTTGCCCTTTGCGTAAGCAACGCCAGGCTACAAGCCAACACTCGACCCCGAGCCAAAGGTCTGGCATGGCACGGGGAAATGCCGACACCCAAAAGGCGCGGGGCGACCTGCTGGGGAAGAACTATATTCTGTTACACCTTTAGAAGGTAAATGAAGGCAGGGCTTAGCCTCAAATAGTACCATACCTACGGGTATGGTGCGTGGATGCAAGTATGGCTTGTTGGTCGCCGAGGCTAAAATTGTGGGCTTTGAGAAGCCTTGGTCAATATCAACCAATTCTGGAGCGTCTTGCAATTCTGCTCGACGCCGCTCCCTTATGGGAAGTCAGCGTTATGCTGAGGCGATTACAGCGCATGAGGGTAATTCTATCACGGTTGTTTAGCGACTGGAAGTCGTGTTACTGTGCCTAAATTTCCATTAGACTTAGGTATAAAGTTTTTAGACTTTGACAGTATTGAGCGCTGTCTTGTCCTGGATTTGGAAACAAGATATGATCTCATCCTTGGTATGGCTTCACTCGAACGCCATGAGTCATGGATTAATTGGAGGTCTAAGATCTTAGGCGCCACGCGCAACGTTCCTAGCGTAGTTTCGTAGATTCATGAACCCATCTTCGCTAGGCAACAGAAGCCCTTCTGGCGCGGTCCTTCGACAGAAGATATCAATGTGCTGGACATTGATACGTCTGAGTTGTCTAACTCTTATGTTGTAAACATAGAATCCGAGCGTAGCTCGTTAAGTATCGGCGATTCGGCACGTAATACGTTGAGTGTTACTCGCTGTGATAACGAGTCACTGCATGCTGAAAGCATGGTTGCCCTTGGACCGAGTGATTAAGGATGTAATTTCTTTGATGTGTTAGTGGTGGCACGTAAAACTACACCGAGTGCGGTCGGCCGTGAGAGCACCGCACTTAATGTCGGTAATGACATTGTTGGCCATATGTCATTCAGTGTGGGCGGCCGTGAAGGCACCACATTCAACGTCGGTAATGACGTTGTTGGCGATACGCCGTATAGAGTGGGCGGCCGTGAGAACACCACACCTAATGTCATTAATGATGATGCTGGCGATACGATGTATATTGTGGGCAGCCTTGAGGGCACCACACCTGATGTCCGTAATGACATTGTTGGCGATGCGCCGTTAAATTTAGGGCTAGACACGCATAATGCACGTGGAGTGGCACGTTTAAATCCACAAGATGAAGTGTTCGAGTTATGTAACACTTCACCAAATGTCGGTCAAGACATCGGCTCTCGTACAGAGCGCACTATGGTTGGTAGTAACTATGGGGACAATATTGTCCCGACCCCTAAGGGGTGAAAGGTCTTGAAGAGACGATCGAGACGCCGGGTGGCAAATATAAAGCGCCAGGCGTTCACATAGTCACATATTGATAATAGTAATTCTCTATATACACTTGTTATTGGAGTGAATGGTCAGTTTAATGGCATTGTTTGCCTTGAAACCCTTCCATCTTTTGATGCTCTTTGTGAGCTAGACGAAAAGTCTGACGGTGAGTTAGCCGGGCCTCAAAGGCAGTAGATCTATCCGAATTAGAGGTCATTAGACCTGATACTGAGTTGAACTCTTCCTCGTTAATGGATGAGTCTGTCCTAGAGGATACAAAGGCGGCATTTTATGCACGAAGTGGATCTTCGATCATAAAAGATCCTTTGGATCCATTCATTTCTTTGCTTAAGGAATTTAAGATGTGGTGTGTCACAACCCACCATCTGCCTTACCTCCCGATAGAGGTGTACGTCATGAAATTGACTTAGTTCATGGAACTAAATACTGCGTAACACGGCAGCGGCCTTTGTCGAGAGAACAGTGTGACGTCATTGACAATTTCTTTCATGCTAAGCACGCGGCTGTAATAGAATGTGAGAGTAAATCTCCCCATTCAACACCGACATTTTGTGTCAAAAAGCTAAATGGCAAGTGGCTTACTGTGCATGCTTATATAAGCTTTATGCAGCCACTATACCGGCACAGACGCCTATTTCTAGAAAGGATATGTTTTAGAACAATAGGGTAGGATGTACATTGTTTAGTGCACTCGACTTAGTCGACGGTTGTTACCAGCTGCTCATGCGAGCAAGCGATATTCCGCTAACAGCGGTGAGTACTTTGAGCAGTATGCTCTTGGAGTGGCTCGTTATGCCACAAGGGCTGTCTAACGCCCCGGCTACTTTATATCGTTTTTGACGCAACTTTTTTAGACCCCATCGAGGTTGCGCACAAACGTACTTTGACGACATCTTTGTCCATAGTCGTGCAACGAATGGTCGATCAGACGTGGATAACCACGTTGATCATTTACGAGCGGTGCTCGAGTTCATGCGCACGAATAAATAGTACGCTAATGCATCTAAGTGCATCTTTAGTGCAGAAGAGATTCCCTTTCTAGAATGATTCATTGGGAAGCGAGGCCTTCGAGCGGATCCGCTAAGGTAAGGGCCATATTCAATTGGACAATTCTAAGAGCCAAAAGACTCATGTAAGTGGCTTGGCCTCGCCATTTACTTGTATAAGTATAGTGCTAATTATGCAGATTTGGCTCGGCCATTGTTCACTCTCCTTAAAAAGGATGTAAATTCCTGTTGGGGTAATAACGAACATGATGCTTTTCATGCAGTTAAGGATAGTCTCCTTCATGCGCCAATATTGGCTTTGCCCAATCCTGACCGGCCTTTCAGTGTCGTCTGTGACGCATCTGACTTTGCCATAGGCAGTGCTCTATTACAAACAGTTGTCGATGGACTCGAACGCGTCATCGCATTCTAGTCTCGGCAGCTGAAATCTGCTGAAAAGAACTATCCAGTATATGACAAAGAGCTACTTGCTATAAAGTACGCTCTTGTCAAATTCCAAGTACATCTGCTTGGCTCAAAGCCGTTTGTGATCTATACAGATAATGTGTCATTAAGCACTGCGACACAGTCGCCTCATCTCTCACAGAGAATGGCTCGTTGGCTTTCCTTCTTTGCAAAGTATAACTTCGAGGTGAAGTACAAGCAAGGTAAGCAAACTGCTTTGGCTGATGCGCTATCGCGCCAACCTGACTATGAGCTTGCTCATGTTACGACTCTGTCGTCGTCAGTCCCTGACTTAATCTGTGCGGCATATGCCAAGAATAATCAGTGTGTAGCTTTGCTACGTGCTCTTGGGAGCAACGAGTGTAAAGACTCGGGTATAACAATGTCGGCACGTTTACGTGCAAGGCTACATCGATATAGATAATGGCCTGTTGTGCTATCGTACGGACATAGAGGCTAAGTCTCGTATCGCTGTACCTCATGATGAGGAATTACAGTATCGAATCCTCTTTGAGGCACATGATACTGCTTTAAGTGGTCATCTAGGTCGTGAGAATACCTATAGCTCGGTAAGCTTAAGTTATTGGTGGACCAAACCTCATATTTAGGTGAGCACCTATGTGCGTAAGTGTGAAATGTCAACGAGTGAAACCCTCAGCACGTGCAGCTGCGCCGCTAACTAGTTTGCCAGTACCCACTGGTTGTTGGGAGTCCTTGAGCATGGATTTTGTGTTTGGCCTACCGAAAGATTCGGAAGGCAACACTGGTAACGTGGTCTTTGTTGACCGATTGAGCAAGATGGCGCACTTAGCGGCTGTACCGGATAGCATCGATGCTGAAGGTACAGCAAAGCTGTTTATCGACCGTGTGTTTTGCCAACATGGCTTGCCTGTGGCAATTGTCTCTGATAGATATATCCGCTTCACTGGGAAGTTTTGGAAGTCTATCTTCAAGGTGCTGAGCACTCGGTTGGACATGTCCACAGCGGATCATCCGCAGACCGATGGTCAAACTGAGCGTGTTAACAGCGTCATTTATTGAATTTTGCGCAGAGTTTGCGCTGATTCCCCTAGGCGTTGGAGCTCAATGCTCCCTGTTGTTAAATTTGCGTTTGACAACGCTGTTAATGCCTCAACAGGCTTTACTCCGTTTTAAATAAACGGTCTCACTCACCCTCGCGTTCCGTTAACGCTAACACTCTGTGGTCAGGGCTTGGTGGGGGAGGTATTGCCGATCGGCTTGCTTATAATATCCCTGCTACTTTTCAAAAACAGGTAGACGAATTTCTTGCAACGCGATTGAATGTCTTTTGTCATGTGCTTGACTGAATGGCTGATAGCCAAGATCAACAAAAAACAACAAGCTCATGCTAAAGGCAGAAGTTGTGTTAAAAGTTATAAGGTCGGAGACCACCTATTACTCAATGCTATAATTAACTTACAAATGTAGTGTTTGCTGTCTTCAAGACAAAGTTGCGTCCACGCTTCACTACACCGTTTACGATCACCGCCAAGAAGGGCTTTGAGTATACGCTCAACCTTCTACGCAAATTGCGCACACTTCCTGTGTTATATGTAGGCTTACTTAAGCCGTACCGGGATCCTTCCCATGTGAACTTGGAGGCGCTTGCGCCGAAGACAAGGGCATTGCCCCGGATTGCTGTAGACGAACCAGCAAGTCCAACTGAGCCTCATTCCTAGTTTGAGCTTGCTCCATCGCCTGAAGGCGGCTTTGCATTGCATCCAGCATGCACTGGGACTTATCCAAGGTCTCTTGAAGACCCTTCACTTCGAGAACCAATTTTTCGTGGGCCTTCCACCGGTACACCGGCCGCCACCGGCTTTGTTCGATGAGCATGGGTGTCGTCCTTTTCATGTCGAGAGACTACTGAAACGACGTCGTCATCAGGGCATATAACAGTTTCTTGTAAAGTGGCGAGGGTACTTTGAGTCTGAAAACTTAAGGGAGCTTGAGACACCCCTTCGGCAAGACAGTCCATATGCTTTGGATGCTTTTAGGCATCGTGGCCATGGTCATCTCGAGACCAAGGCCGTTTCCCACCGTTAGTGGTGTGGGGTAGACGGTTATGTTGGTCACAGACTGACCAGCACTCGCGGCTACAGTAGTAGCCGAAACATAGCGCGCGCTTGCGCAATTGGCCTCTGGCCTTATGCTTGGCATAAATCATAACGATTCTTGCGTTCTAGACGCACATCAGCCACATTGCCACTAGCCCTTAGAACAAACATATTGCTGAGGAAACGTGCATGGTGCACCCAGCGAACGAAGGCATCGCATTCTTCGCTCACTGTTCGCCTGCGAACAAGAGAATGAGTATACCCTTGATCGATGGAACCGGTACACCACGCGCTTGCGTGTCAAGGCGTGCCTTGTATTGACTTCGAGTCGTTAGGTGAGGCTCCAGATACTTTTCACGAAGTGCCTGGCAGATCACCACCTCCTCAGGAGTCTTAGGCCCATAGCCAACGACCCACGTCGCCAATGTTAGGCCGGCCGCTTGACGTAGACGTTCCTTTACACTGGGTGGAGTGAACACATATTCTTGCTGGCGATCAAGGGTTGCAATTATTTAAGCAGGACGCTCAGCCTTTTTTCTCTTGTTTAACAAGAAAATGTTCTTGCTCATCAAGAAGGTTCGTGATCTTAGTTTCATCAGAACTAGTTGTTGAATGCTGCGCCAGTGGCGCACTCGCATCTTCACGTTTAGAGAACAAACTTTAGGTGTTCGAAGGTTGTGCCTCAGGCATCGGTGAGTCGGACATTTTCCCTGCATCACCCTGGAAACTAGTATCGATACCATAGTCCACTGCCTCCTCTTTTCCGAGGTAGCCACACAGAGTCTTTGACTCGTTTGGTGATGAGGTTATCGTGCTAGAGCGTATGTCATTGTGAGATTTACCGTACGCGCATTTTTCTCGCTTAGGAACACATGTTCGATTGACGTGGTGGTAAACGTCATTCTGATGGGGTAGCTCATTGTAACGGGGTTGCACGTAAAAGGGTACTTTGTACCAGGTGTGTTACACACCTGATGGCACCCCTTGTGAAGGTGATATAGAATATCTTATTGGTTTGTAGGGGCTGACGAGTGTCAGCCATTAGATACGAAAGGTCTTTGAGTAAGATTAAGATATTCTATAGGCTTTAACATTAAAAAAAATCAGTTCCCATTTTGATTTATAAGACAAGTGGCTTGCGAGCCGTCTTTATCGTTGATCACTGATCACTAAGAGTTTGCAACACCTCCTTGAGGTAGCTACTCTTGAGCTAGGTGCTGTCGATTCACTAAATCGTTAGGTCCCCTGGAACAGGGACCTGAAGCTGTAAAGCTTGATGACTCGTAGAGTCGTTAGTTCTTTAGAACTAAGTTGCTCGTTAAGCGTTAAGTCTTCCTCTGACTCAAGGAGCTGTGTAACTCCGCTACACCCTTTACACAATATTGACACCAAACGGTATCAATAGAGATTTTGTCTAGCATGACAATATCCTCCCGATATTGTCCCAGTGGATAAAATTGAAGTTTAATTATCCCCTTTAGAAAATGTTCATGCGCTGCTCAAGGATTGGTTGATAAAAGACAAATCAACCATAGATTGCCACTAATCGCTGCTAGACGCGCGCAATGAGTGGTGAGCAGGTTGTCGTCATACGACGACGTAGTTTAACATAGTTAGATAAAGATAAAAGTTATATTGATAGCTTAACGATATTAAATACAGTTCTCTTTTTACCTTTACTTGACCGAGTCGTTCAAGTAGATAAGCTTCTTCTACACGTACTAGTGTACGTGAAGTTTCGCGGCACCCCGACAAAGGGTGCCCCGTTACACCTTGTAGCACTTCGTAGTCCGTCCAACGACTACTTAGTGTCCGTCCAACAAGAAATTGTTGAACGTAGAAGACGACAGCTTTCACGTCACACGTGAAGGTTACTCCCATCTGAGTGAATCAGAATGGGAGATAGTCGGCCGCATGAGTGTGCTCATGGGCGAACCCGCCATTAATGGTATGTTGGAGTCTCTAAGAAGATGCCAGCAACAGGCTGCTATCAACAAGTTCCTACAAGGGGAACTTGCCGTCGAACGACAGAAGATAGACTTGCTACAACAGCAAGGCTTTCATCAGTCGATGGGCTGGCTGATGCACATGCGTCGACCCGAAACCTTGAAGATTGATACCTCAAGGTACAAGCTAACTGACGAAGATTCCCTTTTGAGATGGTTCTTCGAGTTAGACGATGCCATCAGGGCCCGTCACATCGAGGTTGACGAGATGCAAGTCACCTTCATCCTGTATATTTTGACGAAACGAGCAAAGCCTTGGGCCTCAGGGCTCAACCTTCACGACCAAAACGTGTTTGAGTCGTTTGAGATCTTGAAGTCTCTGCCTAAAGAGACGTTTGAGCCGCCGAGAGCCGAGTTCAAAGCATGCTATGCACTCTTGAGGCTCAAGCATGGTAGACGGGACGTGCACGCTTGCGCACAACACCTACGATACCTTGCGAGTAGCGTCACGGAAAACCCTTTTGATGAGCACACGCTTGTCAACGTGTTCATCTACGGCCTTGTGGATGGGCCGGTGAAGACCTACATGTTGCAAGAGGACTTCCATACGCTGGAACAGGCGATAGCGTACGCGGAACAAGAAGACTTCAGCCTGAGACAGTCTCAGGCTAACTCGTCAAACTATTGTCCGACGCGACGACAGAAAACAGGAGGTCCCTATCCAACGGACCTCTGTTGTATCGAGAGCGAGAACACTCGCCCTCTGAGTCACAAGCGAACGGCAAGATGCCTGTTGTTTGTTCAATAGATGGCCATCTGATGAACGTCTTGGAGCGTCCACAAGCGTGTGGGTGTACTACGAGTGAGTGAGATAACCTCACTTGTGGTAAGGTCGTGAGTACGATTGCACAAGATCACAGTGTAGAAGACCACTGCACTGTGGAACCAGCTCCCGGCATCTGTGTAGAAACACAGGCTGCGCCGAAGGTTCACCACTCGAAGAGATCGAGTGGGCTGGAACACGGATGCACATCAAGAAGGGTGCACCCGAGAAGAGAGATCAGAGTTGTTCAGGATGAACAACACGTTGAATCGAGATCGACTATCAGAAAGTCGATCGTAGAGCAAGCCCGATCGACTGAAAGAGAGTCGATCGAAGAGGACGTGGCTGTAATAGTACACCCACAGTCAGTACACGTAATAGAAGAAAGTTCCAGCGTTCCTGAGAGTGATAACTCCCGAGAGAGTTATGTTGAGAGTGTGGATATCCAACCAACTGCGGATGTGTTTTGCTGGGAAATCACCGAGACAGTGAATGTCTTGGTGAATGACGGATCAAGTGTAGGCGCTTATACACTTAATATGATTACACCCCCGAAGTCAGCTTCGGAGGTAGTCAAGTTGCCAACGCTAGAATCTAAAAGATTCTTGCGAGATCTGCGTAGTGACAAGATCAAGCAGATCTGCGTACTCGTCACAGAGGACTAGTACGTCGCCGATATTCGGTCGGCATAAGTGTTTGCTGAGAACGAACGGTTTCTCAGTAGCTTATCGATGGACGATAGTGTTCTTAATGAGAAGACCCGGATTGAGCGATACAAGTCTCAATCTTTGGAGTCTTTGAAGACAAATCCTTTGTATAAGGATTTGGTGGAATTCAGGGATGTTTTCCCGGAATCCGTGCCATGCGAGCTGTCCAAAGACAAAGGCACCCGGCATGAGATCAAGCTGAAACCTGGTTCAAAATACTGTGTCATGAAGCAGTGTCCACTGCCTCGTAAACAAGTACTTGCGATCGACAAATTCTTTTCCGATCGTTTAGCGGCTGGTCATGTGAGGGAATCAACATGCCTACGCAGCTCTCCGACCTTCTGTGTGCGAAAGGCCACAGAAAGGTGGCGGGATAGTGCACGCGCTCAACTAACTAAACGCTGCAACGGTACGGCTCAAACGCCGATACCAAGGATAGACGTGATCATAGATGGTATGGCAAAGAGTACCATCTTTTTGTCCATGGATTTGATGGATAGATTTTATCAGACCATTATGCGTGATCGGGATATCCCTTACAAAGCAGTGAGTACACCGAGTGGTATGCTCTGGGAGTGGCTAGTGATGCCACAGGGGCTACGTAACGCCCCCGCAACGTTTAGCAGATGTGTTACGAACATGTTGCGATTGGTTCGAGACTTCGCACCGAATTACTCTGACGATATCTTCATCCATAGCCCGACTATGAATGAAGATATCGTCAAAGTACTCACACTAATGCGAGAGCACAAGTTGTTCGCGAACCTCAAGAGTGTATATTTGCAGCGAATGAAATACCACTTCTTGGATGCGTCGTAGGTAGAAACGGTGTACGCCCTGATCCGGAAAAAACCAAGGCGATAAGCGAATGACCTGTGCCAGTCGACGTCGAGGGATGTCGAAAGTTCCTTGGCTTGGCGGCGTACTTGCACAAGTACTCGCGCAACTACGCCGAGATGACCGTACATCTCTCTTGTCTGCTAAAGAAAAACGAGAGGTGGTCATGAAGCGCTGAGTGTCAGCACTCTTTTGAAAGCATCAAGAAAAGCTTGGTGCAATCGCCTGTGTTGGCGATTGCAGATCAGTATAGGCCATTTCATGTGGTCTGTGACGCCAGCGATTTTGCAATCGGCTGCGCGTTGATGCAGTACGACTCAGACGGCGTTGAGCGCGTCGTCTGTTGTCAATTGCGTCAGCTTCAAGCAGATGAGCAAGATTATCCGGTTCATTACAAGGAACTCCTTGCCATAAAATATGCACTGGCTAAGTTTCAGGTATATCTCTTAGGAGATAGGCCCTTCATCGTTTATACCGACCATGCGTCGTTACGCACGGCCGTAAACAGTCCACACCGCTTGCAACAAATGACGAGGTGGCTATCTTTCTTCGCGGAGTACAACTTCTCCGTCGAGTATTAACCAGGACGACTTAATGCCGTCGCTGATCCTCTTTCGCGTCGGCCCGATTTCGAGCCGACTGCTCAACCCAGCAGTAGAGGTGATCCCACTGTTGCGACACTATCAGTGAGTGTTCCGTCGTCGAATCTACTCGACGACGTGCGTAAAGCATAAGATTAATCTCTTCTACTGTTAACGAATTACGCATCGAATCCATGCAGTCAAGCTTTGAAACGCTTGACGTCTCAATATCGCTCTTCAACCGAACGGTATTCGGTTCGTTATGGACCGCTGTACTTTACAAAAGTCAACGGTGACACACCTCGTGTCGTCGTTCCGGCTCATAATGATTTGCAACTTGGCATCATGTATGAGTGTCACGATGCCCCGACAAGTGGAAATCGCGATAGAGAAAAGACTTACCTCACGGTGAGTCGTGGCTTCTACTGGTCCCGCCAGTATGATTTTGTGCGGAAATACATTCGCGCTTGCGAAGTTTGTCATCGGGTGAAGCCTAGTCCTTCATCCCGTGCACCCTTGCAGCCTCTACCGATTCCGGCAGGGTGTTGGCAGTCCGTATCGATGGACTTCGTATTCGGGTTTCCCAAAGACGTTCACAAGAACACTGGGTTTTTAGTGTTTGTTTGTTGATCGGTTCAGCAAGATGGTACATATTGTTGCTGTACCGGAGTCAATCACAGCCCAGGGCTGTGTGCGTGTCTTCATTGATACTATCTTCGACTTCACGAGTTACCCCGTGAACTTGAGTCTGATAGGGACCCCCGCTTTACAGCGGAGATCTGGCAATCCGTGTTCCGTTCACAAGGAACACGTTTGACGATGTTGACTTCTGACCATCCAGAAACAGATGGTCAGACATAACGGTTCAACCGCGTCCTCGAAGAGATACTTCGAGGGTAAGTCCACTCGTTTACAAGTTGGAGTGAGTTCTTGTCGATGACGGAATTCGTCATCAACAACTCGGTGCATGCGTCGACAACGCATGCACCGTTCTTCGTGAATGGCTACGCCATCCACGTTTACCCGCCTTCTTAGAGTGTGACTCTAGTTTCAGGGGGTGTGTACTCGCTCGAACAAAAACTGATCTGGTTCTTGCTCATCACCCGTCGACGTGATGGATGCCGATGTCGATGCGATCGATATCGATGATGGTGATGGCGACGATGCTAGTACATTCAGCATCGCCATTGACTGCCACAGTGAGGACGATGACACCCTCACAACGTCCTTTCAGCAGTGCACACGAAGCGCACTGCTGTTGATAAGGATGAATCAGCAGATGAATTTCTGCTGACTCGCGAAAGCGGTTGTCCGCTTCGTTCAATACTCTATTGCAGATGCACTAGACAGACAGGAAAGAAACGCAGACAAACATGGAAGAGCAAATGTTCTTTCATTTGATGAAGGAGACCTAGTTTTACTGTCTACCGTAAACTTACCGAAACACGCAGTGACTAACGTGGGCAGCAGCAAATTACTGCCCAACTACATCGGTCCATTTCGCGTGTTGCGCCGAATGGGCAAGAATACATGATTGAACTGCCCCGTAAGATGCGTTCGCATCCTATGTTTTACGTCGGTCGTCTCCGCTCGTACTATCAGTACGAGCCCGTTTCAAGATGCGAATAACACCTCCGCGGTCGAGAGCCGAGACCACCTTCGAGTGGTCCCTTTTCAACGAGCCAGTCTGGTCGACTAGCAAATCGACCTGTTCACGCAGTTCAGCGATGTCTCGACGAGCTACAGCCAGCTTGTCAAGAAGAGAACGCGTCGGACGTTCGTTCTTAAGTTGTGCGAACGCAAACGCGGCACCATCGTCCGAACGATCGTGCGTGAAGGAATTGTAATTACCCTTTACAAGATCATGGAGCTCATAACGCCGAGTCCGTTCATGAGCCAGGTCATCTTGTAACTGTTCCGTTACACGGTTCAGCTCCCGAACATCAAGCCGATCCGACCCTCGAGCCAAATCAGGTGTTCCCGCCACCAGCACATCCTTTGGTGGACTTAGGCGGTGGCAAAAGCTTTCTGGTGGAGCGTATTTTGAACCACCGCGACGTGAATGGCGCCCGTACGAGTTACCTCGTCCGCTGGCGTGGCTATCCACCGGCCTGTCACAGCTGGGAGCCTCGTGCCCAGCTGATTGTTGATATCCTTGGTCTCGTCGAGCAGTACGACGAGACACACCCGCAGCGCTTGAATAAGGGCCGTCGGAAAATGACCTCCGTGAACGCGAGTACAGGGATTGCAAAGTGTCAATCCCTTCGGCCATCTCGGAAGAGATGCGCGCCCTCCAGTAGGGATCATTAGAGAGGAAGGCCTCCTTAGGGGCATGGTTCGAGTTTTCCAGGCAACCTGGACACGAATCACTCCACGAGAGACAGGTTAATCCTGCCTTTCTTGAAAGCCGGCGCAACTTGTATCGCGCCCCGACTGGGTTGCGTTTCTCAAACCTGATGCGAGCTGCATCGAGAATGGCGGGCCAGGCCTCACGGCCAATGCGCTCGATGTTATGGATGAGGGCATTCTATCCTTGCGCCAAGGCCTTATTGTCTCGACCACGGTTGCCACTGTACCACCGATGTTCAAAAAGCGCATCGGTGGAGAATTCTTCCTCAGCACGGATAGTTTCCGAGAGGGAAGTAGGAGGACAAATCCTCCTACAGTCGAACAACGGAATTTGATCCCGTTCGGTAGTCATGACGGCCAACCGTTCCAACTCCTTGGATGATGGCATCCACGGAGACTCCACTTGAGGAGAGTGGCGCAGGACATTTCGGTCCCTGGCCTCTTGAATGGTGCCAGCGTGAGCGCTGATACCAATGATACCCCGGTCCCTCGAGTTACTTCGCCCATGGTGATGCATAGATGCATCACCACCATCACCACGCGTACTATCGTTGGATGGAATTGCTTGAGGCGGAGATTCGTCGGAATAATCGCTCGATCCGAAGATCTCGGACATGATACCGCCACGTTGACCAGAGCCAGTCAACCTGGCTCTTGCGTTGTCCGCCCCGGGTGATCCGGAGACGTGAGGTGTCGCCTTCGAGTCGGATACATCATCCGACTGACCAGAATAGATGAGCTCTATTTCAGACTCATCCAGATTACGATTCGCATTACCCGCTGCAGACGCAGCGGATGTACCTATCACACGTGGTGACTCACCACGTGGACTGTTCACAGCAGCAGGCGACGAATCACCTGCTGCTAAGGTGTGGGAAGTACTCTCTCCGGCTACAAGCATGCGTGCAGCCGCCTTTCTTGCTGCTGCAGTAGCAACTCGCTTGGGTTTTGAAACCATGCGTTGGATTGGCAAATGAAAGGAATTTGACCAACAAGTGCTCCCTATCCCAGAGTGTTCCAACGGTGGTCACCCTGTCCCAATCAATTCTCATCCAGTCAGCGGGTGATTAATGGTCGGGGGGTGATGTAACGGGTAGCACGTTACATGAACTTGACATCAAACGGTGTCAATAGAGATTTTGTCTAGCATGACAATATCCTGCCAATATCATCCGAGTGGGTAATATTGAAGGAATAGTATCCCCTTCTGGATAATATTGATGCACTGCTCCAAGATTGGTTGATAAAAGACAAATCGACCATAGATTGCCACCAATCGCTTCTAGACGCGCGAAATGAGGGGTGAGCAGGTTTCCGTCATACGACGACGTAGTTTAACACTGTTAGATAAAGATTAAAGTTATATTGACAGCTTAACGATACTAAATACAGTTCTCTTTTCACCCTTTACTTAACGTATATGCTGGGTAAATTAGCTTTCTCTGCACGTAACAGTGTACGTGAAGATTCGTGACACCCGGACAAAGGGTGCCCCGTTAAAACTGTAGCACGAAGTCTGTAACGGGTCACCTTTTGTTGGAAGTGCCACGAATCTTCACGTACACTGGTTACACCTGTTGCACGATGTCTGTAACGGGGCATTATTTTTTTGAAACGCCACGAAACTTCACGTACACTAGCACGTGCAGAGGAGACTTATCTACTTGAACGACTAGGTCAAGTAAAGGTAAAAAGATAGCTGTATTTAGTATCGTTAAGCTGTCAATATTACTTTAATCTTTATCTAACTATGATAAACTACGTCGTCGTATGACGGAAACCTGCTCACCCCTCATTTCGCGCGTCTAGAAGCGATTGGTGGCAATCTATGGTCGATTTGTCTTTTATCAACCAATCTTGGAGCAGTGCATCAATATTATCCAGAAGGGGATACTATTCCTTCAATATTACCCACTCGGATGATATTGGCAGGATATTGTCATGCTAGACAAAATCTCTATTGACACCGTTTGATGTCAAGTTCATGTAACGTGCTACCCGTTACATCCCCCCCGACCATTAATACCCGATGACTGGAATGATTGTGAATGGGACAGGGTGACCACCGTTGGAACACTCTGGGATAGGGAGCACTTGTTGGTCAAATTCCTTTCATTTGCCAATCCAACGCATGGTTTCAAAACCCAAGCGAGTTGCTACTGCAGCAGCAAGAAAGGCGGCTGCACGCATGCTTGTAGCCGGAGAGAGTACTTCCCACACCTTAGCAGCAGGTGATTCGTCGCCTGCTGCTGTGAACAGTCCACGTGGTGAGTCACCACGTGTGATAGGTACATCCGCTGCGTCTGCAGCGGGTAATGCGAATCGTAATCTGGATGAGTCTGAAATAGAGCTCATCTATTCTGGTCAGTCGGATGATGTATCCGACTCGAAGGCGACACCTCACGTCTCCGGATCACCCGGGGCGGACAACGCAAGAGCCAGGTTGACTGGCTCTGGTCAACGTGGCGGTATCATGTCCGAGATCTTCGGATCGAGCGATTATTCCGACGAATCTCCGCCTCAAGCAATTCCATCCAACGATAGTACGCGTGGTGATGGTGGTGATGCATCTATGCATCACCATGGGCGAAGTAACTCGAGGGACCGGGGTATCATTGGTATCAGCGCTCACGCTGGCACCATTCAAGAGGCCAGGGACCGAAATGTCCTGCGCCACTCTCCTCAAGTGGAGTCTCCGTGGATGCCATCATCCAAGGAGTTGGAACGGTTGGCCGTCATGACTACCGAACGGGATCAAATTCCGTTGTTCGACTGTAGGAGGATTTGTCCTCCTACTTCCCTCTCGGAAACTATCCGTGCTGAGGAAGAATTCTCCACCGATGCGCTTTTTGAACATCGGTGGTACAGTGGCAACCGTGGTCGAGACAATAAGGCCTTGGCGCAAGGATAGAAGAATGCCCTCATCCATAACATCGAGCGCATTGGCCGTGAGGCCTGGCCCGCCATTCTCGATGCAGCTCGCATCAGGTTTGAGAAACGCAACCCAGTCGGGGCGCGATACAAGTTGCGCCGGCTTTCAAGAAAGGCAGGATTAACCTGTCTCTCGTGGAGTGATTCGTGTCCAGGTTGCCTGGAAAACTCGAACCATGCCCCTAAGGAGGCCTTCCTCTCTAATGATCCCTACTGGAGGGCGCGCATCTCTTCCGAGATGGCCGAAGGGATTGACACTTTGCAATCCCTGTACTCGCGTTCACGGAGGTCATTTTCCGACGGCCCTTATTCAAGCGCTGCGGGTGTGTCTCGTCGTACTGCTCGACGAGACCAAGGATATCAACAATCAGCTGGGCACGAGGCTCCCAGCTGTGACAGGCCGGTGGATAGCCACGCCAGCGGACGAGGTAACTCGTACGGGCGCCATTCACGTCGCGGTGGTTCAAAATACGCTCCACCAGAAAGCTTTTGCCACCGCCTAAGTCCACCAAAGGATGTGCTGGTGGCGGGAACACCTGATTTGGCTCGAGGGTCGGATCGGCTTGATGTTCGGGAGCTGAACCGTGTAACGGAACAGTTACAAGATGACCTGGCTCATGAACGGACTCGGCGTTATGAGCTCCATGATCTTGTAAAGGGTAATTACAATTCCTTCACGCACGATCGTTCGGACGATGGTGCCGCGTTTGCGTTCGCACAACTTAAGAACGAACGTCCGACGCGTTCTCTTCTTGACAAGCTGGCTGTAGCTCGTCGAGACATCGCTGAACTGCGTGAACAGGTCGATTTGCTAGTCGACCAGACTGGCTCGTTGAAAAGGGACCACTCGAAGGTGGTCTCGGCTCTCGACCGCGGAGGTGTTATTCGCATCTTGAAACGGGCTCGTACTGATAGTACGAGCGGAGACGACCGACGTAAAACATAGGATGCGAACGCATCTTACGGGGCAGTTCAATCATGTATTCTTGCCCATTCGGCGCAACACGCGAAATGGACCGATGTAGTTGGGCAGTAATTTGCTGCTGCCCACGTTAGTCACTGCGTGTTTCGGTAAGTTTACGGTAGACAGTAAAACTAGGTCTCCTTCATCAAATGAAAGAACATTTGCTCTTCCATGTTTGTCTGCGTTTCTTTCCTGTCTGTCTAGTGCATCTGCAATAGAGTATTGAACGAAGCGGACAACCGCTTCGCGAGTCAGCAGAAATTCATCTGCTGATTCATCCTTATCAACAGCAGTGCGCTTCGTGTGCACTGCTGAAAGGACGTTGTGAGGGTGTCATCGTCCTCACTGTGGCAGTCAATGGCGATGCTGAATGTACTAGCATCGTCGCCATCACCATCATCGATATCGATCGCATCGACATCGGCATCCATCACGTCGACGGGTGATGAGCAAGAACCAGATCAGTTTTTGTTCGAGCGAGTACACACCCCCTGAAACTAGAGTCACACTCTAAGAAGGCGGGTAAACGTGGATGGCGTAGCCATTCACGAAGAACGGTGCATGCGTTGTCGACGCATGCACCGAGTTGTTGATGACGAATTCCGTCATCGACAAGAACTCACTCCAACTTGTAAACGAGTGGACTTACCCTCGAAGTATCTCTTCGAGGACGCGGTTGAACCGTTATGTCTGACCATCTGTTTCTGGATGGTCAGAAGTCAACATCGTCAAACGTGTTCCTTGTGAACGGAACACGGATTGCCGGATCTCCGCTGTAAAGCGGGGGTCCCTATCAGACTCAAGTTCACGGGGTAACTCGTGAAGTCGAAGATAGTATCAATGAAGACACGCACACAGCCCTGGGCTGTGATTGACTCCGGTACAGCAACAATATGTACCATCTTGCTGAACCGATCAACAAACAAACACTAAAAACCCAGTGTTCTTGTGAACGTCTTTGGGAAACCCGAATACGAAGTCCATCGGTACGGACTGCCAACACCCTGCCGGAATCGGTAGAGGCTGCAAGGGTGCACGGGATGAAGGACTAGGCTTCACCCGATGACAAACTTCGCAAGCGCGAATGTATTTCCGCACAAAATCATACTGGCGGGACCAGTAGAAGCCACAACTCACCGTGAGGTAAGTCTTTTCTCTATCGCGATTTCCACTTGTCGGGGCATCGTGACACTCATACATGATGCCAAGTTGCAAATCATTATGAGCCGGAACGACGACACGAGGTGTGTCACCGTTGACTTTTGTAAAGTACAGCGGTCCATGACGAACCGAATACCGTTCGGTTGAAGAGCGATATTGAGACGTCAAGCGTTTCAAAGCTTGACTGCATGGATTCGATGCGTAATTCGTTAACAGTAGAAGAGATTAATCTTATGCTTTACGCACGTCGTCGAGTAGATTCGACGACGGAACACTCACTGATAGTGTCGCAACAGTGGGATCACCTCTACTGCTGGGTTGAGCAGTCGGCTCGAAATCGGGCCGACGCGAAAGAGGATCAGCGACGGCATTAAGTCGTCCTGGTTAATACTCGACGGAGAAGTTGTACTCCGCGAAGAAAGATAGCCACCTCGTCATTTGTTGCAAGCGGTGTGGACTGTTTACGGCCGTGCGTAACGACGCATGGTCGGTATAAACGATGAAGGGCCTATCTCCTAAGAGATATACCTGAAACTTAGCCAGTGCATATTTTATGGCAAGGAGTTCCTTGTAATGAACCGGATAATCTTGCTCATCTGCTTGAAGCTGACGCAATTGACAACAGACGACGCGCTCAACGCCGTCTGAGTCGTACTGCATCAACGCGCAGCCGATTGCAAAATCGCTGGCGTCACAGACCACATGAAATGGCCTATACTGATCTGCAATCGCCAACACAGGCGATTGCACCAAGCTTTTCTTGATGCTTTCAAAAGAGTGCTGATACTCAGCGCTTCATGACCACCTCTCGTTTTTCTTTAGCAGACAAGAGAGATGTACGGTCATCTCGGCGTAGTTGCGCGAGTACTTGTGCAAGTACGCCGCCAAGCCAAGGAACTTTC